TAAAGGCTACTACTTACTACAGGATAGGGGCCCAAATGTGGCCCCGCCTTATTCTGAAACAGCCACAGAAAAAAGGGACAGACAGCCGAGGGTTAGAGGACAGGACAGAGATCACACTGAGCTGGGACAACATGAACCCATTAACCCTGTATGAACACACAGCCGCATCCTGAGCTGCTATTGGCCCATTTTACACAGCACCTCATTGGTTGACTGGTGGAAGTGACCAACCGGAGAGGCTAAATGAACATTTAAGGCTGTTTTAAAAGAAACAGGTCCAGTGGGAAAGTGTTATGTAGAGTAGAAGTGTGTAGGGAGGGCTTTTAAAAATGTAAAATAGAGTATAATTACTAAAATAATGTATTCATTATTAATTAATAAATTAATTTAAATAAATATAGCATCACTACTTTGCGGTTTTTCATTCATTGCAGGTGGTCCTGGAAGCTAACAACTGCCATAAATGAGGGATCATTGTACTTCCAACAACAAAAAATAACTAAAAACAGGCTTCATAATCTCAACGAGGTCCAGAGGAGATCCATTTTGTTCAGAACCAGGTGTGCAGAAGCAGGAACAGGTCCAAAAACTACAGGAGCTCATTCTTGGTTTGTGTATTTGGCATTTACAACATGGACGTCACAGAAATGTGCGTTTGTCATGACCCGGTTCTTTAATGGGCGGGGTTTGTATCTAATCATGTGACTCCCTATCAGTCTGGGGACAGCCCCACTCCGCCCTGATGGAACCGGCCGGACAGCTTCTAGAGTTGTCACTCTTTAGTAGGGCCAGCTCCTGGTGGGAATCCAAAATTACAGGTTGGAAAGGCAACATAAGCTTTAGAGCTGTGGTTCTTGAAGGTGGGAGGTGATGAGTTTTGTCCTGGAGGTTTCTTTTTCCTGTTGGTATAGTACCGGATTTTCCGCACTATAAGGCACCTAAAAGCCTTCAATTTTCCCAAAAACCGACAGTTCGCCTCATATATTGATCAGGATGGAGCCCCAACAGGTCTCAGGAAGCAGCCGCCGACTCCATTTTGTCCCAGATTTGGCTAATGATGGTAAAGCCATTGTACCCCAAAAACCTAGGGATTGAATTACTCTCACCTTCTTAGGATCTTCTCAGCCTGTTCCTCAGAGATGTTCACCCCCAGGTCACGCAGAGACTGCATGATCTCCTGTGAGTCTATCCGACCTGGGACACAGCCAGGGATTGGTTATTCATTCATCAAACGCTGATCTAACACTGGCCGTTTACTTCACCGTAACAGGATTTCTTACCATCGTTCTTTCTGTCCAAACTCTTGAAGACTAGCCGGAGCTTCTTCTCATGGTCACTGAGATAGTGAACAAACTCCTCAAAGTCCAGCTGCCCGTCCAGGTCTTTGTCCCCTGCTTTGACTATTTTCTAAAAGAATACAACAGACAGGACGCTCCTCTGAGAGACATGCATACAGTTTGGAAAGAGACTGAAAACAACTCAAATGGTAACATTTTCAGCTAAGTTTAAAACGTTTTTTGTCAAAGGTAAAGTTATAAAACAGATGGACAAAGATCTGTGCTGATGTTTCCCCCTGCTTTTTCCTTCTTTACGGCCATCACAGATCTCCGGATATTAGCCACACAAGTGGCACTCTACAATCCCAACGGTGATCCTCCACTCAGGTGATCCTGGTCTACTGGTACATGAATGTATAAAAATGGTAGCCTGAAGGACGGTGTTGCCTGGCAGCTGACAGAAATGTGCACGTCTCTCCCACTGACTGCTCGTCAACACCGTTTGGAACGATTAATAGTAAAGATCGTAACTCATAGTATGCACCAAGGCACTCCAGGTTGGGGCTTTGAACACATTTATTTTTAAAAGAATCACAGAAAAGGGCTGAAAAGTGTACCTGCACCTTCAGGCTGCCCGAAAGGTGGAAGTAACACATCCAAAGTTAGTTTTCCAGCCCCAAAGAAGACGCCCAGGATGCATTAAGGGTCGTCAGCTACAACTTAGCAGCTCTGGTGACCATCTCTCCTGGTCAACTGAGAAACACAAGACCATGCTGCTTGGCTTGTTGGGTGGAGAGTTTTCTTTCAAAAACTTCCTGATGGCTGATTGTGTAACTATCTATTTGGCAGATGGCACAGACACACTCACACAATTACATTTACAATTACAATCACACATTAATCACTCTGCAATAGTTCATGCCATGGAAAATGTCAACGTTTCCAACTACATGTATTCCAACTACATGTATTACGGTAATCTGGAGTTAGCGAACGAATCAGCCTCATTCTGGCCTTGTTTTTGACCCGAGTAACTGGTCAGGCCAAAGTCGGCCCAGGAGTGGAAGTAGGATGTGAAGGACGGGTCAGTGAGGTCCAGTCAGTGGATTTAGGTTAGAATAAGCAGCTGGGGGCCAGCAGGGGGAGCACTTAGGGTGGACAAGCCTGAGAGAGTCACAGAAATCCAGGGAGATTTGTTGTTATTCTTAACGGCTGTAAGTCTTTTTAGTATTTGTAACAGGCTTTTTAGGACTGGTCAGCACTGGTTGGAGGCCTTTTAGGACATGTCAGTGCTGGTAGGAGGCCTTTTAGGACTGGTCAGCACTGGTTGGAGGCCTTTTAGGACTGGTCAGCGCTGTTAATAGGCCTTTAGCTGAGTTTGGTTTGTGTTTTAAGCGTCTTCTCTGCTGTTTGGAGGAGTTTGTTTGCCGGGTGTCTTGTCCTCTTTCCATCTCCTGCTGCCTCTCTGCTTTCATTACCCCCTCCCCGAACCCCTACCTGACCAGGGTTTGCAGTTACCAGCTGCTCTGGTGCCTCTGTGTTGTTGAATAACTTGCCATTCCAGATTGTGTCTGCTCTTGGACTTCATTAATATGAAAAAATATATAAAACAAATGTATTTGTGACGTGTGCCAGAGTCAGGAGAGGGGGCAGAGTGACTAAGCAGGAGACACTGAGAGTTTGTGGTAACATATTTAAGCTAGCAAACTTCAGATACAGAAGAGCGTGATAGCCAAAATGGGAAACATATTGTAGCTTAAATGTGAAATGTGTAAGAATAAGAAGTATAGTGTATAATGATTAAAAGCTAAAGAGTCACTGTCAGTGGAGGCTAAATAGATGCTTCTGCTGCCGTCCTCATAAACAGCACCGCTCTAAATATCAGCATGTATATCCGGTACAGCAGAGCTTCACAAACCTCGTTTTCCTACCTGCTGAAGTTCTGTCGGTGCTCCTAACATAACTACTACAGAGGCTGTCTTGGGAACATCACTGCTCCTCTGGATCTCTTCACTGCCTGAGGAGTGTGTCTTTCCCTGTAGACCACCTTGAGGATCCCTGTTATTTCCATTCGCTTGAGTTTGTTTCTCCCCTGACATCTGGCTTTCAGCAGGCTTACATTCTGCCCTGTGTGAAAGCCTATGACACAGGGAAATAAAGAGGTCTAGCAGCATCCTTCCACACGCTCACTGCTGGAGTTAGTGCGCTGGTCAGACAGCACTGCGTTCCTATGGATGACCAATCAAAATGAAAGAGCTGAACACTAAAAGAACTTCAGAGAGGGCTTCGATCCCGTGCTCAGCCTCAGCAAATCTGTAACCTGTCCAGAGGCTGCGGTTTGCATATTATGAACAAACCAGAGACAGTTTTCCCAGTTCAAGATAACAGTCATTAAAAAAAGCAGGAAAAAAGAGAAGGCTCACATCTCCTGCTCCACACTTTCACTCACAAAGGCTAGAATGTCCCACCAGAGGTGTCTGATATTTAAAAAAGCCCCAGCTCAGAAACAGACTTTCTGTGCTGGATTCAGTGTTAATGCCCAGCAAATGCTGCATTGAAAATCTTGTGATGGCTGTGTCCTCACTGCAGGCCGGCCCAGCCAATCAGCACAGCCGAGGAGCCGGCCCAATAGCAGGAGCCCTGCCGTCATCCAGGGACGGGATAGGAGCAGGGAAATGAATGTTCAGGGTCTTCCCCTTCCAGCAGAAAGTGCTGAGTAATCCCTGGCTCACCTCCAACGCTCACAACAGCAGCGTCACCGTCCTCCAGACAGAGTCCCCATAAAACAGCAGTCCGGGCCAGACCGGCTCCGGTTTCCTCTGCCGGGGAGAGTCTGCAGAGAGCAGCTCCATCCCCTCCTCCTGCTGTAACCCCTGACTGCCTGCTCACACAAACAGGAGCAAACCTGTCCAGGTTTCTACACCTCCACTCGTCCTCACCCATAAAACTGTCTGCTGGCTGCATAGCAAGAACAGACTAGAACATGTCTCAAGAAATTTTAAGGGGGGGGCACCTACTGCCCGGACCAGGAACCCGGGCTGGCTTTCTGGAGACTCTGCAGAGGACACAGACTGACATTAAAGCTCTCTGTAATATGGGCATGTGCCTATGAGAGGGCCTGAAGGAGAGACACAGAGAGCTGGAGGGATCTGGCTGAGCTCTAGGGCCCGCTGACCAAATACAGATGGGGGGGGGGCAGGACGGGGGTCACATTGGCTGAAAGATGAGAAACAGACCTACGCAACGAGGTATGACAAGACTGGGTCCGGTCCCGGGCTGGCTGACGGGCCTCACCTCTCGGCCCGTTTTTGGGATTTCCCATTCATTCCTATGGGCCAAATTTTCCCACTTTTTCGCCATTTATTCGAAAAAGATGGGACTAATGAGAGAGATTTGGACAAGCAGGCGTCCTATGGTTGAGTCGGACGTGCGTGCCGATTTCGGGCCTGATCCGCAGAACCATGCACGACAAGTTACGCGCCGAAAATCCAACGGAAACGGGAGAACTCTAAGAAGTGATGGAATAGGTATTTTGGATAGTAATATATGTATGCACAAAGAATAAGATGAAGCTTGAGCCAGTTACCTCTGTCCCTGTGTGCCCCCCTGCGGTGTGAGGCTGAAAATGGATCACTCATGTCAACACAACTCTAGATGGCCCACTACTTTCTCCACGAATGTAACACCAAGGCTCGGTTTGGGAGGATTTTCCTTTGGTTCCAGGCAGGGTTCACCCAGCCAATCACAGGCCCACGCAGAAACACACAACCACACACACTCACATTCCCTCCCAGTTTGGAGTGTCCGGCTAACCTCACATGCAGGTTTATGGATGGTGGGAAGAAGCCGGAGCACCCAGAGGGAACCCACACAGACTAGGGGGGGGACACAGGAAGTCCTGGTTCCCGGGGACTGGAACCGGGGACTGGAACCGGGAACCCTCTCTTGTTCAGGGAACGGTGACCTTATTGAAATATTGTTTGAAAAACTGCCAGTATGTCTATCAGGTGTACGGAGAAATAAAGATCTGATCTATGCCAACTTCTTATGAATGAAACAATAAAACTCAAGTCAGATACTTTGAGGTAAAATACTACTACTACTACTAAATACTACTACTAAAATACTATCTATCTATCTATCTATCTATCTATCTATCTATCTATCTATCTAATGGACTATAATTGTAAATATTTTGTCATTGTTGCTTTATCAGACTTACAGATTTGGATGAGTGATGGTTATAATTTTCTAATCTAAATTATCAAATTAAAGCTAAAATGAAAAACATGACAGAAACGTGTTTTCCTGTGTTTTTAGTGTTGTAATTTGATTACATTAAATCATCCATCCATCCATCCTCTTTCCCAATGGGGTCGCGGGGGGACTGGAACCTAACCCAGTAACATGGAAAAACTGAAACCTGCATATCAGGTGCACCATTCAGGTTATTCCATGTATTCTGCCCTTTTACCCCCCCACACTGGGATGCTGTCAGAGAAGCAGTGAGCAGCACCCCCTGCCTTACAGGACAGAGTACTAACATGGTATGCTTCTTAAAAAACACACAGATCCATGTCTCAGAGCTCAGAAGGCAAATCCAAACCACACAGAGTGTCAGCAGTCAGGATAAACGGGTTTTAAACCTCCAGGGCTCCACTCACATCTCAGAAACCAACTTTCTGTGGGGGGGGTCTTCATGTACATAGGTGGGGAAACAATGTGGAAGTAGTAAAGCAGATCCACCCTAAACACCGGGGCTTTAAAGCTTACCATCAGCTCGTGCTGGGAGCGGTTGACCCCCAGCTTCTTCAGCCCGATGGCCAGGTCGTTGACGCAGATGCCCCCGTCCCCGTTCACGTCCAGCACCTGGAACAGCACTTTGAGCCTCTGCTCCTGCTCCGGGCCTCCCCCCACGCCGCCCGGACCCTCCGGGGGCTCGGGCCCCGGCTGCCGGAGGGATGCTGATGGGGGGGGCTCGGTTTGTCCACCTCCGGAGCCGGCCGCCGGCGGGTCTTCCGGCCCGGGCTGGCAGTGCACTTCCCCGGACACAGAGGGCCCGGAGGAGCCCGCCGGGAGCCGCATGACGGCCCCACCAGGCCGGTACCTGCTGACAACAACGCGAGGCACGTGAGGGGGGGAAACTAGTGTCGGCCACCACGTCACAAGCCGTCCATTCCTGCCGGCTCCGGAAGCCGAACCGGAGCCCAGACCCACCTTTAACAGCCGGACGGTGCTCAGACAAGCTGGGGAAAAAAGCAGATAATTCCCACTCCGGTTACTTTCCTTCAGCAATTTGATGCCACTTAAAGCAGACGCTGGAGGGAGACCGGCTCCTCAAACATCAGCCCATTGGCCGCTCATCAAAACAAGTACCGGCCAAGTTTACGTGGGGCTAAAGCGCGGGATACAAAAATGACAAAATATTAAATAAAAAATATGAAGCTCATTTCGGCTCGTTGATTAACAAATTTCAGGTTCCGTTAACTTGTTACACTGGGCGCCGCCAAACCGGCATCCCCCAGTCTCGCGGAATAACGCGAGACAGTATGAAGCGACTCAACCTCGCGCTGGACATTTTTGCTGCGCCGTGCATAGCGGTAAAGCTGGAGTACGGCTCCCGCCGTAGGACAAAAATACCCACAGCAGAATAATCGATTTAATATGATTACGATTTTTCCCTTTTATTCCCATGATGAAGTATTTATGAAAAACTGGTCACCTTACCGGTTGTTTTATGTATTGACTCTTTATATAAATCACCAAATTTAAATATGAAAACAATTCATTTAACATTTAAAGAGATATTCGTAAAATATCCCTAATCATTCTTTTTTTTTATTTTTATTTTTTTACATGTCATTAGTTTAATTGAAATTATAGGTGCAGCTGTTTGTGCAGTTGTAAGAGACAGCCAGTTTTTCCACTGGTGATATTATTAGGTGCTACACTCACATTACAACAATTGATTAGTAGTACATTTTAATGAATGAGATATGAAACAGACTTTCCACAGAAATTGATGGCTGGTCAGAGCCACTGGAGTATCTGAGCAGAAGCAGGACCATCTCTCTCACATCGTGTGAGCTGCCACTCTGCTGTTCCCACATCCCCTGAAGTCGTGCATAGGTCTGCAGGAACTTCTTACTCTTGTTGACACAAACAGTGGTCAGGTAGTCGAGAAGCCTGTTTCCCTTCAAATCCATATTGCGTTATATTTCTCCTTGAGGTTAATCCCAGTGAGGTCCTTGAGGTGAACCCACATTCATTTGACATTTTACCTCCTCTGGATTGTCATCAGACTGTTGAAACATCAGCAATAGCTTTACAGTCCATTTAATGCCTCCTTAAGTATTGCTGCTCTCTCCTCTGATGGGATCTCATTTGTGTAATCTGAGATAGACTGATGTTTTCTTTAGTGTAAAAACCACAGTTTTCTCCTGTTTATGTGTTGCTAGGTAGGTTATATATTTATAGGCTTGTTTATTTTGGTTTAGTCTGATTTAGGTAAGTTACCTTTTATTTTATTTTAGTGCGATGAAAGGATTATTCCGTCATATCTGTCACTACACTGGTTCAGAAACAACTCCAAACATCATTGTCTGTGAATGATCACCCAATAAAGGAGTGAAAAGGTGGATGTTCTCTGAGGCTTTTAATTAGAAACTTACTGAGAATACAAGTAAACAAGCTCATAATCCAGAAATAAGCTTCAGTTAACATGACAAGAAGCAACTTGAAAAGGAAAAACAAGTTAAATATCAACTGTAAACTGGGAGTAGATATTTTGAAGGTTTGAAAGAAATCATTCGGACAAAGACACCGGGTGTGAACAAGCTGCAAATGAACAGAAGTCAATAAAAGATCGAGATGCTTTAGATATAAAACAGAAAAATCCAAGGATTTGACAAGCAGCACATTGTACTACCCACAAATACAGGTTTAAATGCAACCATGAAATGTGATGATGAATTAAAAATGCCTGTCTTCTGTAAACAAATAGTCAGGAAACGTGTTAAAGTGTAAACACAGATAGTACCGATATGTACCGAGTACACAAACACAGTTCTGGTCCAATTTAAAACATTCGTCTTATTTTTTATTACAAAATACAAAATCCCTCTCGTTCAGTGTCAGCTGGCATTAGCTCCATCCCCGAATGAATGGTTTAGTGACCGGATGACTGGATGAAGTTAGGATAAAGGGGACCGGATACTGTTTAACAGTAGTCAAAGTTTAAAGGAAATATGGACCATTACCAACATTTTTAAAATGTCTTCCTGGTATCATATTTTTGTTTTAAAACACTAAAATGCCTCGCATACATATATGTTTTCTGTTAAATACGCTTTATTTAAAGTAAACTGCTTATAAAATTTGCATTTTTACATGCTGTTATTGTGGATATTCACATAGACGTTTTAGGCAATAGAAACGTAGAACGGGTTTTTAAACCCAACCATCATTCATTAATCAGACAAAAAAATAGCAGATTCTGTGATCAGACGTTTTTATGGTTTCTCAAGCTGGAAACCGACTTGCAGTTTTTAGAAACTGGCTCCGGAGGCCCAAGTGGTACACTGCCCATTTCAGGACATGAAAGACTACGATAATGCATTTCTAATAGACGATAATGAGTCTAAGAAAACTGGTTGTTTTGGAATGATGAGGACAAGTCGACCATGAAACGCCTGAGGCTGTGCTCTAATCTGTGTACATATATTTACATATGAGCCCAACTTCAGAGGATCTGGCTTTGCTTACACAAAGCCATGCAAAAAAAGAAGCCGGAGAACCGGCTGTATCTCAACCACATTCTTCATATAAATAGAATCCCATGGGAGCAGATGTCAGATGAGTCTCTCTTCTGGTGGGACCTTAAGCATGCTGTCCATCTCCAGACGGGCTCCAGCCAGCTCCTGGGTACTGGGACTGTACACGCCCTCCGACTGGCGCTTCTTCCTGGCTGTGAGCACCACGAAGGTCAGGCCGATGAAGACGATGAGGGCGCTGACACACAGCAGGAGGATGGCCACTATGAGCCAGGACATCTCCTGCTTTTGGGCTTGTTTCTGCAGATTAAAGAAGAAACATCACATTGTGGGTCTTAATGGTGGAGAGTCACTAAGCAACTTGCTTTTCTGTTAGTTTGCTAGAAACTATCGTACCTTCTCACATCATTAGTGTCCTAACTATTGCAAATTTCATTAAACAGTCTATATTTCTAAAGACCGTGTCATGATATGGAGTGGCTAAATTCACTTTTTTTCTTCCTTATTTTTGGCCCTGAGCTTGGATTTTACAACCCTCACCTCTACCATGACAGATAATCTGTATTTTACTATGTTTAATGTAGTCATTGGAGGATTCTTTATTGCCTCATATATGTCATCAATATTTGCACACATAAAAAATATGAAAACATGTCAATACCTTTTTTATAGAAATACAAGTCCAAATATATGGACAATAATTTAGCAATACCTATCGTCCAATAATTGAAGCTTTTTTCCTGATGCAATTACATATATGATATATAGCATTGAAAGCTAGAAGCAAACTTCCAAATCAGTTCAAAACTTTCGATTAAGTCTTGTTTTCTTAGAAAATATCTGGAAATAGGGTTTACAGGGTGTAATAAAATTTCGATACTGAAAAAGACAAATGAAAGAAACCTACGTTGATGTCACAGATTGGACCACTGAATCCAGACGGGCATTCACACACAAACATGCTGAACCGGTCCAAACAGACGCCTCCGTTCCTGCAGGGGTCAGACGCACACTCATCGATCTCCAGTTCACACCTGCAAGCAAGAACGAAACCAGGTCAGTCCAGTAGAAAGGTCCTGGTTCCCCTGGGACTCCAACCCAGAACCCTCTGGTCCTGGTTCCCTTCTTGTTGTGAGGAGATGGTGCTTACTTCTACTGATATGCTAGTTAAATTAGCCTCAAAACGAGTCTTGTTAAATCTCTAAACACATTCTGACAGGAAAACACCGGTAGTTGATTCAGGCTCACAGATGGCTACTTTCTGGCTTGACACTGAATTTGTAAAATAGTAACTAGTAACAAATACAGAGATATCTCACCTGCTGCCTGTGAAACCTGGCATGCACGTACAGTTAGCTCCCCACAAACCGTCACTACAGACGCCATCGTTCACACACTGGACATCTTTACCACACTGTAGAGGGGGATATTCCCACCTGGCAGAAACACAGCACACATGGATTTAATATGAATACAATATTTTGTATAGCTACAACAATTCACTCAGAAAAAAATCTCTATTTTTACCAAGAAACTGTGGTAAGTAAAGATAAATGATGCGTTCAAATTGCATTCAACAACAAAAAAAAAGTTGTTTTAAAAAGATTTACTCCAAAAAGTTTCTGTAAGAAAACTATGAAGTAGGAACCAAACATTTTAATGCTTGGTAATGACAACATCCATCCATTTTCCACCGCTCATCCGGGGTTATCCTTATAGGTTTTTCCTGATTATAAGCTGATCAGTGACACCTGTTGTGATTTCTTTATGGCGGTAAGGGAAACGGGGGGGGTGAGTGAGCACTCACTGGCAGCGGGGGCCGCTGTAGTCCTGGGGGCACACGCAGCTGTAGGCGTTGACCCCGTCCTGGCACGCCCCCCCGTGCTCACAGGCGTGGTGGTCACACTCGTCCAGGTCCTGCTCACAGACCGGGCCCCCGTACCCGGGCTCGCACTCGCACTGGAACCCGGACAGGAAGTCCCGGCAGCGGCCGTGCACGCAGGGCTGGGGGGCGCAGTCGTCCCGGTCCTGCCCGCAGAGCGGCCCCTCCCAGCCCGGCCCGCAGGCGCAGGAGAAGCGGTTGAACAGGTCCTCACAGGTGGCCCCGTTCAGACAGGGGTCCGGATCACACACCGGGGCCCCCCGGCAGCCCAGCCGCACCTCCGGGGCCCCCACCAGGTTGAACTGGGAACGCTGGGGCCTGTCTCTGTCCCCCCCGAACGGGAGGTAGACCCCGCCCACCCGCACGGCGCCCAGGCAGCCGGAGAAGCTCTCGGCGGCCACCAGCAGCACGCCCTCCTGGTTGAGGAAGCCCAGCCCCCCCGGCTGCTGCCCGCCGCCGCGGGCGTCCGTGATCCCGTCCACCGTGATGACCCAGGGGGAGGCCCGGGGCCCCCCCCCCGCCAGGAAGACCCTCACCCGGTGCCAGAGCCCGTCCGCCACCTGCCGACTCCCCTTCAGGACCACAGGCTCGATGTCGTTGCCCGTGTGGATCTTGACCCAGACGGAGGAGTCCAGCAGGCCCACGAGGAGCAGCTGGGAGCCCAGGGCCGCCCGCAGCAGCACGGCCGTGTCCGAGCGGCTGCGCAGCTCCAGGTAGATGTCCGACACCGGCTCGGACAGGGTGCCGCCAGAACTGTACTGCAGGGAGTCGTTCTCAAACGTGGCGTTGAATAAGCCTGGGAGAAAAGCAAAGAGATGATCTGTTACTGTAGGGTTTGGATGGAGATCAGAAAAGGATCAGTCGTACATTAGACAGACAATAGTTGTACATTAGTATTTTTCTGGCTCTTTCAACATGGGAGATCAGCCAGATAACACCTTTGTTAGCTCAAGACACCATGTCACAATCTTCTTAGGCTGATACAGTAACCATTTATTTGGAAAATAATAGTACTGACTTGCTAAAATATGCTGCACTAGACAATTTTGACATTTTAAAGATGAGTCACTGTGTCAAATCTGAGTCGTTGAACCTCAGCTGTTAATACACATTTTATATGAAATGACAGTTCACGACAACTTTCTCAGCATTTTATATTCCAAATGCATCATGGGTAATGAAATATTTTACATTTTTCACATTAATTTTCCTTCTTTTTGCACTTTTTAAATGAATATTAGCGTTGCCATAAATAAATGTATTAGCAAACATACGTTCTATATGAACACATTGGTCTTAGAGTCATACTATGGTTTAGATCATCTTTAACCATAGATTAGAGTCATTGCTATTAGGTACAAATCATTTTGGAAGGTTCAAACTATTATTCAGGATGTATTCTGGAGTGCCTGGTAATTTGTTTTGGGCTGTTTTTGTAGGGAAGGAGGCCATTAACTGAATGATTTACAATCTGTAAGAAGCTATCAACATCGCTGTTCTGGAGTTACTGGAGGGACTCGAGGCCTTCAGTTTAAAGAGCTCTGAAAGACTGAAATGAAACAATCTTTAAGATGACTTTTCCCCTCTTTGTGAGATTAGTGCTGCTAATAATCTCTAACATCCCAATGGCAAAGCAACGAGGGCCATTTAGTCCGGAACGATTATCATCTGCATTAGTAAAACTGTTAATGTGTTTATTATCTTCAGAAATGTCATTTATGTTTTTGTTACTATTATACCATCATTTTGGTACCACTTATTGGACTATATGAAGTGTACTGAGAAAACAAGCAACAACTTTAATAAAATCTATAGTCATAAAGAGAGAGGCTCCCCTGGTGACCTTGTTAGGAATAAATGTTTTAAGATGGATACTATTGTAATAGAATTAATTGGACTTCAAAGAAACAGTCACCTACATTGGAGGGAACTCTACTGGATCTTTATATTGCCTTCAGAATTTGTACTTTTAAAATAATATCTTTTCCATGTTCAGTGCAAATGGCATGTTGTCTTAGTTGAAACTTGAGTGGTCCTTTCACCTACATGTTCACACACTGTATCTGAATTTAGGGCGTCCAGGCTACAGACGGATGTCCATACATTTACCCAGTTCAGTGTCTAGCCCAAAGACACTTTAGTATTTGGCTCAGTTAAACTAGTCTCTCTCCAGTTAGAAGGCAACTGCTCTTCTTCATGAGCTACAGGCCTTCCAGGACCCCGATCCCCTGAAGTCATGTGACCAGTCTCACTCAATTTAATCAACAAAACGCAGAACCGTTTGCTAATGTCTGAAAAATCTCTCTATTCATGAACATTAATTGGTGAAACACATTGCTCTAGAAAAGTCAAAGAGTTCTATTTAATTGTAAATTGGCATTTAGCCCCAAATAATAATGTTTGATCAGCCAAGGTTTGTTCTTACATTCATATCCATCAGGAAGGTCCACACAGTGGCCCCCACTGACACAGGGGTCACTGACACACCAGACGGGGGTCTCACAGGTCTTCCCCGTGTACTTCTGCTCACACGAGCAGGAAAAATCGTTGAAGAGGACGGAGCATTCTCCTCCATTCTGACAAGGATTCATCTGCAGATGGATAAAAGAAAGAGTACCTGATTAAATAACTACCACAACATATAAAAAGTTATCAAACAAAACACATATTAACTTGAAAGTACATTTTCTAAAGCCTCCTTAGGTCCTGATAACAGCCTCCAGCTCTTTATTCTTATAGCTTTTTCTGTATATGGTAAGGTGGAATTGAGGATCTTCTTTCTTTAAATACAATATCATTAATCCCAGAAAACACATCAAATTTGATGTGACAGCAAACCAATGTTGATGGTTTACATTGCAAATATAAAAAAGCCTTAAGATGGCAATGAGACCAGGTGAGAAGAAAAAAGAAAAAAACATAACATAAAACCTAAATGCAGTGCATCTGTTGTGTGATGTTCTTTTGTATTAGAAATAGAAAAAGCAGCTGCCTAAAATCCTTGGAAATTTTGTGAATAAAGAAATAGAACCAAAGAAACATCCCAGCCAAAGCATTCAAACCTTTGGTACTTTTTTTTCACTACAAGCTGTGAAAACTAGAATAAAATTAAAAACTGTGAAACTCCGAAAAGTGGGAAGAGGATACTGGACCAGTGTAAAAACCCCAAATCAAATCTGAGTAAGAAACCAGTCCCGATTCAAGATGTAAAAAGCAAAGCTGCACTAGTTTAACGTGTGTTAGCCCTGCTGTGAAAAACAACTCCTCTTTTTTAACAACACACTCTGCTTTTGTTTGGATTCCAAATATATAGCTCTAGTTTCTGTCATGTTTTTCATTTTAGCTTTAATTTGATCATTTAGATTAGAAAATCATAACCATCGCTCATTCAAATCTGTAAGTCTGATAAATAAATAATGACAAAATATTTACAATTTTAGACCAAACGATAGATAGATAGATAGATAGATAGATAGATAGATAGATAGATAGATAG